ACATGCCAGTGTTCTGACCGCTTGAGAGATGCAGAGTTTTGAGTTTTTAAACTGGGTTAAATCAACAGCTCATTCTTTAAAAAAACCAACCAGCTGATGGAGCCTATAACTCAGCCTCATTATAGGCCAGTGTATAGGGATTTCTCAGTATTGCATTGACTGGTTTTGAATACTTTAAATCTGTATTGCATTTGGTGGCATCTTGTCCCAGAATACCTCATTCCCTGGGAGGGAGGGTGGTTCTGTTGACTTACGTGCACAGCCTTGTCAAGTCTGAGACTCCTAAAAAATAATTTCTTCCTTACAGACCAGTGTGTTACACGAAAGCAGAAATTTCAAGACTCTCTGCATCACAAATTCGGAATCTTAATCCTGTGTTTGGGGGATCGGGACCAGCTCTTACAGGACTTCGTAATCTAGGGAACACTTGCTATATGAATTCCATATTACAGTGTCTGTGCAATGCACCTCACCTGGCTGATTATTTTAACAGAAACTTGTACCAAGATGATATTAACAGGTAACAGTCTTTTGTTCTCATCCTTTTATCTGTAATTGAAGGAAAAAATCTGCCTTTATGATTGATAATTCAAAAAAATCACTTAGTGGGAGTTAAGGAGGGTGGTTTGTTTTTTTAAGTAGGAGACAAATGCTAACTTGTAACAGTCTTGACATTTTCAAATTCAGTGTGTGTGATGAAATAGGTTTTACTGGACAGCTTTGATTAAATTGTGCTTACCAGAGTCATAAATAGACATGTACTAGAGCCTCCTAAAACCAAACAGAATATTTAAATAGCAGTTTACAAAACAAGCTGGAAACTGCTGTACCTTCCATCAGCCCAGTCTTGAATATGGAACCACATTACAATGCCAAAGCAGGCAAAAATTTTAACTCAGTCTAACAGCCAGTTTTTCTTGGTCTAAAGAAATTACTTTCAACTTGGGATACCATCTTGAATTAATAACAGTTATATTAAAACCAAAAAGTTATTTGAAGGGCTGCTTTTTTTTTTGTCTGTTTGATTGTATAGGTCAAATTTCCTGGGGCATAAAGGTGAAGTGGCTGAAGAGTTTGGTGTAATAATGAAAGCTTTATGGACAGGACAGTATAAATACATCAGTCCAAAAGACTTTAAAATTACAATTGGGAAGATTAACGACCAATTTGCAGGATATAGCCAACAGGATTCCCAAGAATTGCTTCTCTTTCTAATGGATGGCTTGCACGAAGACCTAAATAAAGTAAGCAATACACTTGTAACAAATTACACATCTGTCAGATGATCAAGAGAAGTAAATTTCTAAAAGAACCTCTTAATTCATAAGATGATTGTGTTACTGGAACCTTGTATAGAAGGAAGTGCGAGTATTCAGAATTAAAGTAGGAATTTAGATTGAAACAGTATAAGGTACTGAAGGGAGTAATGGAAGAAGCCAAACTAGGTAAGAAATGGATGGCTACACTGACATGTTGAAATATTCTTGCAAATACTAAATAGTGTGCTTGCCTATAGATAAGACTTCCTATTTTTATATATGTTAATGTATGGCTATGGTATTTAAACTTCTGTTACCCAGGCTGACAACAGGAAAAGATACAAGGAAGAAAACAACGATCATCTTGATGACTTCAGAGCAGCAGAACTCGCCTGGCACAAACACAAACAGCTCAATGAATCCATTATTGTGGCACTCTTTCAAGGCCAGTTCAAATCTACAGTGCAGTGTCTTACATGTCACAAGAAGTCCCGAACCTTTGAGGCTTTCATGTATTTGTCGTTACCACTTGCATCCACTAGTAAATGTACGCTGCAGGTACGGTGGAACTAGAGAGAAACTATTGAAGTAAAAACATTTCTCTGTGACTTCACTATGATGTTGCTTGTGCTCGGCCTCTTGTTGAAGGGGGTTGATCAATATTCCAGCTCAATTTACACTAACATGAACAGATCTGAGTCTTCATTATTTTAAATTCTTTGAAGTTTAAAGAAATAAGTCATTCCTTAAAAGCTTTGACATGCAAGCAGGATGGAAACATTGAAGCCACAGTAGCAGAAAAGACATGTATAGTATTTGCTTTTGTAGGTCACAGTATAAATATTTTGTGTTTTTAAACAAAATAATATAGGTATATTTTGAAGGACTTGCAGCTAATTAATACATACAGTAAAATTTACTTCCACACATGGATTTAACTCACTTTTCCTCATTTTTGTGAAACGTGGCATGCAGATAATTGATGCAGGTTAACAACCAAATAGGAAACAAAACATTTTTGCTACTTTCATAAACACCTGCCCTTCACAATCTGTGTTTCTACTTTCGTTTTAGGAATGCCTTAGATTGTTCTCCAAAGAGGAAAAGCTCACTGATAACAATAGGTTTTACTGTAGCCATTGCAAAACTCGAAGGGATTCTTTGAAAAAAATAGAAATTTGGAAATTACCACCTGTTCTTCTTGTGCACTTGAAACGGTAAGAGAAATGGTGATTGGTGAAAATTAATTGGGCTGAAGTGACGAGACTTTGATGGAGATTGATTGTTTCAGTGCAATAGCTAACCGTTTTTAATTAGAGAAATTTCCGCTTGTATTGCTAGTTGTAATGTTGCAAGAATTTTATTTTCATCTGATGCCTCTGTTATTAGGCTGTAGTTCACAATGTGCTTTTACAAGTAAACTCTTCATTTGTGCTAAGAAACACATGTGCAAGCATTAACAAAATTGGGGGCAAAATGCTTTAGTTCAGGTCATGTCCTGGTTAAAAATAGGGAAAACAAACATGCTTAACATTCCTGAATAGTTTGCGAACAACCTGTAACTTTCAATGACGCTTTTTAATTCTCTAGATTTTCCTATGATGGAAGATGGAAGCAAAAGCTTCAAACTTCTGTAGACTTCCCATTGGAAACTCTTGACCTTTCGCAGTACGTTATTGGTCCAAAGAATACCTTGAAGAGATACAATCTGTTCTCAGTATCAGTAAGTAACCATGTCACATTTCAAGGTTCAGCTGGTCTTCATGCCAAGACTCAGGTTAGCCTGTGTGATGCATCTAGGTCTCCAGGCTGCCTACCTGGCTGCAGATTAAGTTGTGTTCTAGAAAGAATGATTGGTATTAAGTAAAAAAATCTCACATTCTAGTTTATTTTCCTAACCAGGGAAGAAATGGCAGCTTTTGAGGCCATTAATTCTTTTCTTTTCTTCTTATGTTTACAGAATCATTATGGCGGGTTGGATGGGGGGCACTATACAGCCTACTGCAAAAATGCTTCAAAACAACGCTGGTTTAAGTTTGATGACCATGAAGTATCTGAGATCTCAGCATCATCTGTGAAATCCTCAGCTGCGTATATTCTCTTTTACACTTCTTATGAACAGCGAGCAGTGGACATGGCCACGTAAAGTAGTGTGGGTTAAGAAAACTGGTTTTCTTTTTGTAAGAGCAAAGTAGGTATGGGAATGCATATAAACATGCAAAACTATGACAAAAAAAGCCTCTTACAGATTCGGGGATGGTTGCAGCAGCTTTCCTGCAAGCAAGCTCTTTCTGGTCAGTACTAGTGCTTAAAAACCAGAAGACCGATTCATAATGCTTGTGGTAATACTGCCATCTCTGAACCCATTTAAAAAGGCATACTTGCATTACCATTTATTTTAAAAAACCCTATATTTCTAGTCTGCTCCAAAATTAAAGTCTAGCTTAGTCATCTGAACTCTATTAACAAGTAGTTTAAAATGTCTTAAAATCCCAAGGCATATCTTGATTTTTATTTTTTTTCTTTCACTGTTATGGCCTTTTCACATTTCTAACCTTAAGCTTGATTCTACTGTGAATACTCTAGAATGATGTAAACAGTTAGGAATGTAAGTGTACATATTGATTGCATACTTGCACATCAGAACTATGTATATAATAAAATGTTGTCCTTTTTGTGAGAATCTCTAAAACTCAGAGGATTGCGTTTATTTGCCAGCTCTAAGTAATTGCAACACTACTTAATAAAAAAGCAGAGCTGTATTTTTTTCTGTTAGCTTTTGTCAATATTTGTGCACTTCAGAGTTATTCTAAACAAACAAGATTTTTCCTTTTTAATTTTTTAATATAAATTTTCACGTACACATGCATTAAAAACCTTAATGAAGAAATGATTTAAAAATATATCCTGTTAAATGTATGTTTGGGTTTGGTGTTTTCATTCTCCACTAGTTGTGCAATGGTGAGGATTCTACATAATGATAGTCCGAATCATATTGACACAGTTGGAATGTTCTTCAGATGGCAAAAATAGTACTTTCTGTAGAACTGATTAATTTAGAAACTATTGTAGTTGCATCTTGTGCATTCCCCTGCTCTGGATTTTGGTTCATTTTCCCTCTCTGATCAGGTTGGCATTCAGAAATCTTAAATCCTACTTTCTGAGCTTTTATCTGCTTATATGTGCATGTGTCTTGCTAATGGAATTAAGGGCAGGATTGATTGTTTTCCAGAAGCTTACAAGCTGCAAACAAATTGGCAGTGCTAGAGGGAGGAAACCGACAGTGCTGGAGTAGTGCCTTTTCTTTCTCTGATGTTAATAGTCACTTCGTCCCCCGCTCCCTTGCAAAACACCCACCCTCCATGGTCTGGTCGTATAATACCCTTTCACCGTACTATCCTACTGTCGGCTTCTGAGAGGCAGCTTAAAACAGCATAATATACTTAACCGATATAGGGTAACAGGAGTTTTCAGGTAAGTGCATCTCTATGCTCAGCACTTGCGTTCTTTTGGGGGATGGAAAACAACCACTAGGCCATGTACAAAAGGAGTGGATGCCTGTTCCTTAATAGGCTTGGAAGCTGTAGGTCTTCTTTCTAGAAATTACTTCCTGAAAGACCACAACAGATGATCAGTAACGCCAATACTCTAGTTTATTGATGAAACAGGACTTGGCTAATGTTGCCAGTGAATTCTCATTGCTGGCCTACTCACTCTTTGTTTTCCATGGCTAGCAGATTTTTAATGGGTGCAGAGAAGACCTTGGCAGGTGTAGAACAGGAGATAAGCTGTATCAGTCTGCACTGAGGAATTTGGGATCTCGGTGATCTGCGCATCATCAAAGCTGTACCAGTTTTTGGTGACTGAGTGCTTGCAGAACGCTGTGTAGTGGCCATCATCCAGAAAACCAGTGTGGTTCTGTAACAAAACAGTGTGTTCAAACAGAAGTCTCGCTCTTTCTCCTTACAAGCAAAGCTAGGAGCTGGCAATCATTTTTTGTTTGCACTTGGAAAAGATGAGAGAGAAGATTCTAACCCCCTTTTGGCCTCAGTGAGGAATATAAATTCAAATAAATGCTTTAAAAAATAGATTATGATTATGCTGCTTTATTTTGCAATATTAAATTTGCAATCCAGCTATTGGCTGATACAGGTCACTATAAGCAGGCCCCACTTGGGGAGAGTGATGGAAAAAGAGACCATTTAGTCCTTATTTGTAAACAGGATCCATGCAGGATTGGCTTGTGAGTTGATGCTGAAGGGGCTGAGGCAGCTCCAACCAGGCATTACCTGCCAGGAGTGGATGCTTTTTAAAACTGGGATGCTGGGGGAGGAAAGAGAGCAGCAGTAACTTCTCTCTTCGCTGGTTACATACTGTTGCTGGATTATGTCCATGGCAGGTAAAAATAAAAAAGTTTATGAAAAACTTTATGAAAAAAATACAAATCTATATATATAAAGTCCAAACTAACAGAGGCTTCATCTCCTCCATGAGGCAGGGCATTACAAATAAAAGCAGGAAGGGCAAAGCTCACCACTACCGCACACAAGCTGTACTCTGCCTGCTTGCAGAACAGTGGGGAACTGTAGGGAGAGAGATCCAGATCGCTGAGTGGGTAGCAGATGTCAGTTGAGAGTTTCCTTTTGTGCCTGCCTTGCCATTCAAACCTGAAATAAAATTTTGAACTATTTTAAATAACAATCAATCAACTTTCTTGCATTGTGGTGGTTGCTTAACTAACTGTCCTAGGGGAAGGGATACACAATGAATGACTGCCCAGTGCTTTGAAAGAGAAGGATCCATATTACAGCAAACTGACAGAAAATGCCCTAAACCCTGGAGAGATGTCCAGCAACAAAAGCAATGCTCTTGCTTCCTGAGCCTTCTGTCTGTTAGAAATGGACACGGGTGCCAAGAGCAGCCAGAAGTCACATCTGCACCACTGCAACTGTGTCCTAAACGTTTTGGACTGTACTGCCATTGTTAGCTCTTCTTTCAGGTTCCACCCTCTTTCCTTTGTAACTTTTAGTAGGACGCTGTACATTTTAACATTTACAATGTGGCCAGGGGCTGCAGCTGGGGGCCACAAGTTCCTTTCAGCATGTCAAGGAAAGCAGATGCTGAATGGGAAATTAAATAACAACTTTACGTAATGTAGTTCTGGGAAGCTAAATCACCCGAGAGTAATTTTCTTTATAGGTGGCAAGTTGTTAAGAATAAGTTTAGCATCTGGCCACATGTGGCTAGTAAAGTCTGCTAACGGGGAGCTCCTGCACTGATGCGCCTCTCTTGTTTAGCAGACCCAGTTGTTCAGAGCTGGTTTAGTTAAGAGATAAACAAAAATACAGTGTCTCAGCTGCAATAAGGACAAGCAGAACACCCCGTTTCAGTCCTTCGAACTTCAGACTTCAAACCCAAGTCACAAGCTCTCCCATTGCCAGAGGAACTCGTATTCGCGGGGATGCCTGACCACAGGAACCGCTGTACTGATCTGTAATCAGTCGCTCCTCGGTGGAGTTTTTCTTCTCTTTGGAGATCCCAAATGTGGTGGGTGAACTGTGGTGTGCTGCAGCACGGAGCAAGGCAGAACCTCGCCTGAGATTTCAGGAATGCAATTTGCATGTTTGACAGGTATGTTGCTGTAACTGGCCATTTAACTTCCAGATACCAACAGTACTGAAAACACTCATTTGAAGTGGTTGTTTTCCTTTTATGCAAACGCAAGTGACTGTCCTTCACATCTCACAAATCCCAAGCAATGGCCATGTCCTGCCCCATACAGACTGTACCTCTTTAGGTGAAAAATAATGATCTGCGGTGCCTTGGTTATGGTGGCCTTTACTGCTGCGTCTTGTTTTGTTCCACACCAGGAACAGTAGATTTGGTTGTTCCAAGTCAGTGTGTCTTGCTGAAAGAAGCATTTGAGACAGTCCTGTCAAAGGAAAAAAAAAATTTAAATTATTTGATCAAACAGATCTCCATCCCTGAAGATCCTAAGCAAGGTAAGAGAAGGGTGTGACATATTTTGGAGCACTCTTCCTAATCGAAGCATGATGTAGCAAGGCTGACATTGCAAATACACTTGGAACACAAAGCAGCCAACATTGTCTTCCGTTTTCCCCCCAAAATGGGGAAATACTTGGATGAGTGAAAGAAACCCCCACGGCTGCTATTGAACAATCTTAATATCCCTCACCCCACAGCAACTCAGGAGCGTTGCTCCCGTAACCTTACCAGCCTCTATGGTCCGGAGACCAGTATAGAAATCCCACTTCTCTTGGGACCAGTTGGAAGACTACCCATTAGTGCCCACGAAACCAAAGCAACTAAAAACCTGCATCTTTGTAATAACACGTTATTAGTCTAAGCCAC